GACACTTACATTCGAGAATAAGAGTAATAATAAAATGAAATAGACAAAAAGAAATTGTCAGTTCTAATATTTGTTTTTGTTGCACATTACTTTTAAGTAGTTTGCGTATTATTGATGGTTGTTAATGCCTGTTTCAATGCTAATATAATCGCATTATTCTATCCATTTTCAGCCTTCCTTTATGGCTTATTAGAGAATCCCGTTCCCTCCAGAAGGTACTGGAACTTCCTACTAATCTATACGATAATAATAATTTCATTGAAATTCATATACTAAATGCCCATCTTCTGTGATTCACCACCATATAGATTTATAGGCTTTTCTTAAGAAGAAGCATGTGAACCTAGAGTAACTACTTAATAGGAGAAAATCACAAGAATAGACTATGTTATTGGTATTCGAAAATATTAAGGAGCTGAAACATTCATGAATGCCATTTGGATTGAATTACTATTGTTTATTGCTTTTTTGATCTAGAGGTATTTGTTGCAATCTTAGGGAATTTGGGATTACATGAAATTGTCATTAGATCAATATTTCATACCTTAATTCTAATAGCAAGTAGAAGATTAATTAAGTGAACATAAATAGGAATCTAGCTCTAAGGAATCTGAACAAGAAAGTGACGATTTCTCAGAAAATCATTAGGTTTAAGAACAATAGAAAGAACAATAGACAGTAATGATATCAATCTAAGATACCTGTACATCAGTGTGGCAGTAAATAGTCAAGTACTATTATCGTTTATTCCCTCATGCTTTATCGACTATCTACATTCAAAGGAAATATGATCCGGCAACTAAATAGATGATAATAAAAGATGGAGTAGTTTTGCCAGAATAGATTAAAGTGGGTAGAGATTTCTATGCACCAGGATTTATTATTTGTTTAATTATTTTAGTGTACTTCCTATTGTTCTACCCAAATATCATAGCCAAACGAAGTTATGCTCACATTACTTAAGGGTAAAGTCAAAGATTTTCATCTGAAGTCATATTTGTACTGTTAGTTGTCATTGCTATCATAATTACTGATAGAGCACTATTTATTATGAGGAAAGTAACTAAGGATCCAAGAAATGATAAGTAAAATTAGAGTGGAAATGATATTCAGAAATACACTTTGATGATTAAAGTAGCCATTCATTTCATTTTAATAATTGTTGTTCATTATTACTTCTTTTTTGTTATACCTTAAAAGACTAATAAAAGTATGATTAATTTAATATATTTTAGGGTTCTAAGAATCATACTATCTAATATTTGCATATATTCTAGTTTGTATATATTTTATGATTTCATCTGTGTAAATAAGATATGGATATCCTATATAGAAGTATACTTAGATATTTACTAATTCCCATAAACCAGCCAATTCAATGGCATTTAAGATTTATAGAATGATTCCCTTTTTATATGAATTGAGAGTTATTATTGATTGGACATTTACTACTACAGCTTTGGATCTAATTTAATGGTTTAGACTTGAGGATATCTTTGCTAATCTATACATCTGTTAAGCATATTAGGATTCTCGTATTGAAAATCATAAGTTGGGAGATCCAAGATCATCATCTGATAAATGTTTAAATGGATGTCTCTATTCTATGTTCATTGTTTTTATTATCATCTTGCCAATTCTGATTTTTAGTACTTTAAATCCAGCTGTAGAAATCAATAATATCACAAATGGTAAATTTAGTATTAAGGCTGCTTTCTTTGGTTCAGATGATAAGTTATTCTTTACATTATTTTAAGTAAATGATTTAGAGTTATTGGATATACCGAATGAACAATTTAAGAAAATATAAAAGATTTATGGCGAAATTGAAACATCATGGTAAGAGAGAATGTAAAAGGTTAGAATCAAGAGATTCAGTGATCTTGAATGGAATCTTCCAGAAAATTATAGAGATCAAATTAGAAATATGATAAAATCGTAATAATATTAAGTAGAAATCCAATGTGAGTGGGTATTCCAGAAGAGTGATAGTTAAGGAGGGGCAAAATCATTCACAGGACAGTCAATCGTATAAGCACCTGACACTTTTGTTAATAATTTTGGTAAGATCTTAGCTCCAAGAGCACCAGATGCAGTATTTGATATAAGGGAATTAGTTCCTAAATTCTTATATGTTGGAGAGTCTGCTGAGACTCAAGCATTACGATTGGAACCAGTTAATATAAGAGAAGAAATCAGTTATTATTAAGATATTCGTTTGATCCACAAAAAGACAAGTGATTTTGTATTCTTTGAATTGGTGCCCAATGATGATTCAACTGATTTGAAGTAGATTGGAGGTATATTTTGATTAATATGTTCTAGCATCATCATAAAATAGAGTTGAATTCTTTGTATTGAATGAATTAGCATTTGGTAGTTTGATTGGAGCATTGTCCACAAATATGTCAATAATAAGTATATATGCAACATTTGTGTTGACAATCGGTAGGTTTTTGAGATTTGCATATGACAAAATAAGTACTAGAGTGATGTTTGAGGAGATGCCAGAAACATATGAATTATTTGATTTGTGTTAAAGCATTTACATAGCAAGAGTGGATGGAGATTTCATTAAGGAGGAAATATTTTATGAATTGCTGATTAGGATATATAGAAGTCCGGAGATACTATTTAAAATGACAGGTGCTTCAATTTACGATAGATAAAAGAAATGATTCTAATTAATATATATATTATTTGATAATTAAATATGAGTTCTGGAAGTGAGAAGTTGGATTAGGTGCATCAACATCACTTGATGGCACCTTTGAAACCTTTCTTTCCTAATCAGAATTTGGAAGATAAGAGGATCAGAACTGCAGCCAGAGAATTTCATGATTTTCTCAAGGAAGCAATAGATGAAGAACATTAACACCTATTGAATGCAGATCAATCTATAATAAATGATGAGATAGTCAAGATGGCATTACCAGAAACTAAAGCTGAAATCAAAGAATTAATTTATGAATTAAAACGAATCCAAAATGAAGAAGAATAGCTGTTATTGCATTTTATAGGATAAGCCAAACAACTAGATAATAATGATAAAACGACTCCAAAAAGATTAAAGGATTATTTTGAAGGATTCTATTATGAAGTTATGATTAGAAGTAGTGACAAAAAGAAATTGTATGAAAAAGTCTTGTTGCGAGAAGAATAATTGTAAATATCACTTAAATATCAAGACAGAAGCATTTATCCTAATTGGAAATTAATTTGAATAAAATTGAAAAGAATTATGAATCTATCAAAAAGTGGCATGAAATTAGATCCCTAAGACAGACTGGGTATGATATTTCATCTATTTTAATAGGAGATTTAAAAACAGTACAACTAAAATATAGAAAATACAAATTCCAAATAATGTTTCAGTCTAAGCTTTGAGTTAGGATTTCCTCACAAAAAACGTAAATATACAACAATAAGAATAATCGGTATTGCATGAAGATGTCATGACCAAACCAAATGCAATCACTTCAGGATACAATCTGGAGTATAAACCTATTCAATATAAGGAAATATAGTCAGATTTGAAAGAAATTGAAATCGATGAAACAAGTGTCTATGATTGGATTGTCGATATTGATTTAATCACTACTATTGCTAAAAATGGATGGAAAGTATATTTATCAAAGAAGTTTGCAGATGCACAAGTCAAATAAGAGTCTGAAATACCTAATTATGGATTTACTAAATAATAACACAAAGCCTAATGGGAAGGTGCCGCTGTTGCAGTTGTTGGTTTATATGATAAAGGAAAAACCTTCGTACTCAATAATCTTACATCTTCAAATTTACCTTCAGGGAAGAAGGTAACTACAAAAGGAGTCTCATTTAAGCATGTGAATGTTGATTCAGGTACATAATTGATACTTGTTGATACTGCAGGTAGTTATTCGCCTGTTAAAATTACAAATGAATTGAGTATTGTTGAAAAAGAAGCCACAGAGATGTTTATTACTGACTTAGTTTTTGAGATTTCAGATTATTTCATTTGTGTAGTCAATGATTTCACAAGTCTTGATTAAAGATATTTGGATAGATTGAGTAGAAATTTATAGAACTCTCCAAATAAAACATTCAGAGAAATTATTGTTATACACAATCTTAAAGAAGTAGAATCACCTGAGATCTTAGAACATGTTTGGAGTACTCAAGTTACTCAAATCTATTAGAATGGATCAATCTAAAGGACTAAGGTTGCATCAATTAATCCTATCAATCATCAATTGTAAGAAAAACATGTCTTATGGTTCAAAACTGAATTTACTAGACATGTTTGTTTAGTTAATGATGACTCATATCTAGGAATGTCAATTAACCCTTGGGTTTTTTCATTGTTGAGATATTGGTTAAAGGCAGTATTTGTTCCAGTTAATAGATAATTCTCAGTTGTAGATAGCATCATTCAATTTAGTAAGGTATGTATTTATTCACCAATTCATTTAGACTAAATTATCATCTTATTTCAGAACCATACTTACACTTCAGATTTAAGATACTGATGACTTCTTAGTTAAGACTATTGTTACTTAATAAGAAGTGTAGGATAGCAATGTCAGAATACCTTAAGTCTCTATTGATTCTAGTGGTTTGATAATGACCAGACCTGACAGTTTCTTGCCTAACACTGACATTATTGCTACTGATTAGTACATTATTTACATGGATGTGCCTGGATTAACCAAAAATGAAATCCTTGTGTATCGTTAAAATGTTGTAACAATTATTAAAGGAATACGTAAGAGACCTTATGATGTAATTCAATTTCTTTAAATTTTAAGTCTGAGAAACTAGAACGTAGTGAACGTAAGTATGGTGAGTTTGCTTTGTCATTCAAAATTCCAGAGATCTATGAAAGGAAATGGAGCACTTTTACGGTTGAAAATGGAGTGCTGACAATTGTTTATGAAAAAGATAAAGATGATTAAATTGTCAGATAAAAGAAACAAGAGTGATTTGATATATTATATTAATATATATATATGATATTTGTGTCACATTAATTAATTAGGTAAATTTGAATAAACCATCATGTTCTCATTATTAAAATCAACGAATTGATTCTAAGATAAAAGAATAATAATACATTTGAAAAATTGAAGTTTGGTAATTCAGGCATAAAATTAGGTTTTATTACCGATTTTAATGGTTATTACACCTTTTTAATACCAAAATTGAATGATTTCTTTCCTTTACTTAATCCGAACATTTTGTATTCATCATAAATTTTGATCAATAATTGTTCTACTAATTGACAGGCCTAAATTAATAGTAATTAATTGTACTCTAAGAAAGAGATGATTATGTTTAGAGGACACACATAAATGTAAAGGTTCTTGGGATTCTCTTTTTTCAGGTCCTTCCTTATATCCTGATCCTCTTCCTCTTAATCTTAACTTAACCAAATCTTATTCTTTTGTATCACAATCAAAAAGACATTAATCAATTATCTTTTTCATGTTACATCCTTTGGCCCCTCAAATAAATTAATTTAATACCTATGATCTTACGAGCTACTTGGAAATCTTTGTCATTGTCTATTTGTACATCATATCTACAAGTAAACTTCTATTGATTTGAATCTTGAATTTCCATAATTTCTAAAAGATCTTATTGACTAGTGAATTCTATTTTTATAGTGACATCTAATTCTTTGATTTAATGTTTGTTTAATAGTTTATAAACAATGAAAGCATCAAAAACTGAATTGAATTTAATTATGATTGGCGCCATTGACCTTTGTATAGACTTATTTGACCTCTCCAAAATTTTCACAAACCTAAGTTTTTAATATAAAATTCTCGTTACTTATTTAATATCATCTTAATCAAGTTCAATTTCATAATTATCCTCACTTGATAATTCGACAGTTAAATATTAATGGGGATATTGTCTGCTCTTTGTTTAGGATTATAAATATTTACTTTCTGTTTCAACATAGCACTTATTCTCTATTTCACTTTCTGATCATGAATAATCAGATTGATTTACTCTCTATTAGTGGGTGAAGCATTGACTAAACTGTCATCACTTTATTCTAACTATAAAGTAAATAAGAAATCATACAAGGAAATTGGTCATGTCCTCAATTTGCTATGAGATCTCTTGAAAGCTCATTAATTATTCTGTTAAAATAATATATTTTGTATTATTATTCATATGATATCTTCACTTTATAATTGTTTTTCAAATGGGATCTTTGTGTATTTAGGAACAGAAAGACGTCTACAAATTCTCTGCTGATAAGAATATTAAGGTGTTTTGGCACCAGAACGAGGTCTATTAAGTAGTAAGCATCACTACCTTGCCCTCTCAGGAGTTCTCAAGCCTTATTTAAATGAGACTAACCAGTGTCTATCTGCACAAGTATTCATCAATCCACCATGACTATCTCTATTCACATTTAGAATTAATACTATTTACAAAATATAATTATCTCTTCCACTCCCATTGCTAATATAATGCAGAGTCTTATTGCTAGATTGAGGTCGATATATTTTCGTTGATTTCTTAGGCTAAAAACTTCCAATGGGAGGTTGATGACATCTTTAAGCATGTAATGTCAACCCACCGTTATCAAATTAGACATATGTATCACGCCCTGATTTTCAATAAATCTTCTGTCATACCTGTTCCATCAGAATAATAAAAATTGGCCTTAGCATATTGAGCTTCCGTTTTGATGTTCCCAGACTTCATCAATTTAATCAAGTAAATTACTATTATAAAAAATATATCATTTAATTTCAATATTCTTGTCCTCCTTCTACATATTTAATTATTCCTGCAATAACTAGCATTCTTCAACTAAGTGAAACTAAAACATATAATGGATAAACTTACAATTTATTGCTGGCATTTCTTATGTACATCTTCATCCTAAATTTAACTAATGTTATCAAAAAATGAGTCATCTCCATATAAGATTTCCTGTCTTAATGAAAAATTCAAAATATTTAAACTATGTTGCTCTGACTGATCTTAATCCAAATCATTAAAACTCATTCTCTGAGGCAAGTTTTATTTCATCTCCTATATTTATTAAACTAACTTCTTGCATTCCATCTCGTAATACATAGCTTTTTACTAAACAAATAAATGAATACAATTACTTCTGATTTATCGACAATCTATTAATATTGTTATAAATTGAATTTTGTGTCATCAATGCATTTTTATTATTTTTCTGCTTACAATAACTTATTCTATATTTCCCCAATCTTCTTTCTATATTCATTAACATTTTGTCTTTGTTGCTCTGTCAATAAGGATTTCATAGATTGCATAGTCAAATTAACTCTATTATGTAAGAATTCTTGCATAAGTCCATCCAATAATTACGAATAAGCCTCTATTGATTTTACATCCTATACATTATTGCTTTACTTCTTCTATTCACTCTACTTCAACTCCTTAATTTTCATGAGAATATCACCTTCTCCTTCGAATTCATTTTGTATTTTCTTATATTTATCTCGAACATCAATTAATCCAACTATTTAATTACTAATCACCTATATCTACTTTTCAACATCTTCTTCTTCATCCTCTGTCAATAATTCAGAATATAATTAAAATATCAATGTTGAATATTAAGATTACTTGTCTAATAATTCTTAAAATTCATTCTTTATTTAAGTTAATGCATTTATAACATTCTCCTCACTTACCTCCTAAATAGATAACTCCTATTATAAAATCTAATTAATTTTGTTCTATTCCTAATTTTCAATTCGATTCTTCTCCCCAATCTCAAAAATCTTTAATCTATATTCATTCTCCCTCCTTCTCACTTCTTCTATTAAATCAGTATTCTCCTCTTGTAATTCACTCAATCTCATGACCAATTCCCTATTTTAATTTCCAAGTTCATTTATTTAACTCTCCAATTCCTACTTCTGATTCTCTGCTGTCAAATCACAATTTTATACTTAAATATTTTTAATTTCTAAGTCTTATTAAATTTTCTCAATATTTGTTCTCATTTAATGAATCTTCAAATTCAATTATGACTTTTCTTCCATTATCATAGTCAGTTATTCGTTTAATTGCAATACTTATTACTAATATTATTCAATTAAAATGCCTTATTCTTATGTCTCTTTCTCTTTAGATAATAATTAATCATTCAATTATTGATAAGTTATTTATTGATTTTTTAGGGTTTCAACCAAATTTACATTCTTCTATTACAATTCCTCTGTTACTTTTTCCTTCTCAGCTTACATGGATTGTATTAACTGTTTTAATTCAGTTTATTCCTAATTTGATTAACTTAAATTAATTAGTTTTTCATCAAATTCTTGCTCCAATTTCTCCTGTAACTTTTTTTGGTTACTTAATATTTAAATTTGATTTTAAATTTCTTAATCTCGATCTTTTAATAGATTAAACATATTATCTATTTCTATTTATTTCAGTTTATTTTCATCATTTATGTTGTCAATAGCCTCCTATTTTTAATCCACTGAATTATGGAGATCTTTTATTTAATTTTCTTTCTTTTTTATATCTTCTTGCAATATTTCTATTTGTTTCAATTGTTCTGCATTTTTATTTTATAAATCCGAGAACTAATTTTTTATTCCATTTAACTCATTATAATTGTTCTCTAATTGTTATTATTACTTTTTAACTAAATCTTATTATTGCAAAACCATTTCACTTAACTATAAATTCATTTAGCTTTCAAGATCTTTCACTTATATCTGTAGTTGAGCTATTAATTTGTTTTATTCTTCAATCTTCTAATTTAAGTTACTTATTGTTTTTGAATTTAATTCTGATTATCCAAATATTTATTATTATAAATCTTAATTTTAATCTTTATAAAGACTCACTTCTTTGGAAATCAACATCAATTTTCCATTCAATTCTTCATTATCTAATAGTTTTTCATTTAATAACTTATCAATTTAATCAACTTCATTTTATTTTTATTTTAATTATTCTTTTAATTGTAATACTTCTTGTTCTTTTATTTATTCTTCATTAATCATTTTAAGTTAGTCTTATTCTATTTAATTTCTCTTTTCATTTATTTATTTGAATTGATCATTTAATTTACCAATTTCAGATTTATAATTAATTTCTATTGTTCTAATTTTTTCATCCTTCAATTAAAGTTATTCTTTCCATTTCTACTATTCATTTTAAGATTCCTATTAAAGTGTTTCTAACTATTGAATTAATTACCTATATAATTGTTGATTGGATGATGACTATGAGTAAATATCTTTATTTTTTTATTCTAATAAAGCTATTTTGTTTTCGGAAGTTGAGAGCTACTCAAGTAAACCCTACTTCTCTTCCTCTTTCTTCTAAATTTATTATTACATTTATTAATTAATTTGATTCAACAAATTTTCTTTTTATTATAGCTCTAAATCTAAGTTGTCCTAATTATTTTTGATCTAATTTTAATGCTATTCAATAACTTTTTCATATTATTCTTTTTATTATTAAAGTTAGTTCTACAAATCTTAGATTTAATAACTAATTTCTAGTAATTTAGATTCTTTTTCTTAATTGTTTTATTCTTAAACTTATTACAATTAATTTTGCATTTGTTATAATAATGTTTCATGCTGTTCCTATTCATTTAATAACTAAGATTTCAAATTCTCTATAGTTTATTATTATTGCTAGATATTATTGTTAAGTTGTGTTGATTCCAATTTCAATTATTCAAGTTGATTCTAAGTTGCACTTAAAGCTTGATATAATTATTCTGTTGACATATTCTTTTCCATTAACTTTTTATCAAGGACTTCAAGATTAGATTTTAATTAGTTTATTAGAGCTGTTTGATCTTATATTGTTTTATTCAATTCTGATTGGTTTTATTTGTTGATATTGTCCTATTGTTCTACGTATTTCTTATATTTTGAGCATTCTTGTTATGCATCATGATATAATAATTATTAATTTTAGATCAATTCCTATTGATCAAGCACAACTTACTTTGTCTAATTCAATTCTAATGCTTACAATTCATACTAATCTTTTATTGATTGCATTGATTCACTATTATTTTATAATAATGTCTCATTCTCTAAATTGGCTCTCTATAATTATATTTATGATTCATTTAATAGTTTCTTTTATTCACCAATAATCATTTAATTTTATTCATTTAGTCTTTCAAAAGATTATAATTTCTATTATAATATTTCTTATGATTATTTGTGTTAATCTTGCAAAATCTTAACTTACTTTTAATGATCATTAGTTTATTTAAGTAATTCTTTTTTGAGTTTGGAGATACTTTCCTCTTAGTTTCTTCTTTCATTTTCAGTTTATTAATATTTCTCAGATAGATCTTTAATTTCATTCAATTAATTTTCAGATAATTTAATGAATTCGTTAATCTTTTGTTCATACTATTCTTAATTCTTTTGGTAATCTTTTTTCATCAGTTTAATTGTATCTTAATCTTATTGCTGTTGAGAATAAAATTCAATATTTTATGATTAAATAGCTTTGTATTCTTCCTCCAATGCACTATGCTCAATTTCTTTATTTGAAATGATTTCTTACAATTTTTTAAGCTTCTCTTAAAATAATAGATTGTCTTTGTTAATTTTATCCTTTAGTATCTGTTCAGCTTCTGTTAGTAAGGATATCTAATTATCTGATTACTCTATTTGGCTGTGAAGATCAATAATTAATTAATGCAGTCTTGTAATTTCTGATTTATTCTATTCGATTATTGTTAATTGACTTTCTTCTTATTAAGATGATTTCAATTAGTTTTATAAAATAACTTAATTCAATCTTTCGATTTCTTTTTTTAATTAACTAATTTATGTTTGTTATTCATTGTATGTCAACTTGAGTTCTTATGATTTAGTGATGTCTTCTTTTAGTTTTTTAGTTTATTCATTTAGATTTAAAATTTCCTATTGTTTATTTTATAATGCAGATACACTGATTTAGGTTTATCTGTTAAATTCATTCTATAGGCTTTCGCTCTTAAGCAATAATTCCTTATTAGTGTTAGAAAGTTGATCATGAAGTTCTTTATAATTTTTGAGCTGCAATTCGTAATTTTAAAATTCTAACTTATATTTACTTTATATTTCTTCTATCTATTGCTTGGCTTTAATATGAGTGTTATTTAATTCTTTATTAATTATTAATATTTCCTCAGATTGGTTGAATAATTTATCATTAATGGCATCAAGTAACCCCTTAAAATCATTTTATTTATGGACTATCTTATTATTTTGGATGATCTCTTTCAATCTCATTACAAGAGTTTCTTGAAATTATTAAAACTCATATTATTCAGATTCTCTTTAATTAATGATTTCCTAGATTTCACCTAATTATTTCAGCCATTTTGCTATGCTATCACCAATAACTCCTTAAAATTAATAAGCGTCTTGGAATTTTAATGCTGAGTGGTGACCAATCTTATTTAAATATTAATAATAAGATTTAATATTAGTTTCTAATTCAGATATAGCTTATCGAAGAGTAGAAATCTATTTTTAACATGTTAAATCAATTTCTAGAAACTTCTTCCATAAATCTTGATTATTCTCACAGATTTGAGCAGAATATTTGAGAATCTCCTCCTTTTATTCACACATATGCTTAAAGGATTCTTTGTAATAGAGATGAGTAGTTACTTAATGAATTTTGGATGAGAGTGCTCTTCTCATTTTCGATGTCTCCATTCAAACTATTGTTCTTTGATAGATTTTCAATAGCCTCATAATTCTTCTAATCTAGATCCTTAATTAAAGATAATAACAAGGGTTCATAGGTTTCTGGGAAATTTTCTTTGTTTTTTGGATACGCCCCATTTAATATTTCATTCAATTCATTCTTTTTGGAGAAAGATGTTTTGGCACTTTTCTTACCTGATTTATACAATTCCAATTCCTTTTCACTCTTGTCTAATAACTAATACAATTTCTTGATGCACACTTTTCTACTCTAAAAATAATATTAATGTAATTTAATTACTTCTGCTTTCTTTTCGGCTTTCTGCAATTACATCTTTAATTATGCCAGATTGGATAGAGATTGTGAATTGATGTTATCACTGACTCTTTTTCTTAAGGTATCATTTTCTTATTTGATCTTTTCTAATTGCACAGCTAATGAATCAGCAGATTCTAAGACATCCTACTAATCGATGAAATAATTACCAATCTCATTTCCACTTATGTTCTAATTTACATATAGGTTCGAATGATCTTATCATCAGTGTTATTTTCAATTGCATTGTTTGCTGCTCTAATTAAATTAAAAATTAAGCCAGGTTCTCTGGGAGATTATAATTTTAACTAAGGTGAAAGAGGTAGCTTTTTTTAACTTCCTGGTGATGATATACTCATCAGATCGACTTTCTTTTATTCGCATTATTTAAATTTATATTTTTCTCTACTTTGACTCTATTATCTAGGTCTTTGTCCAATTTATAGAGAAGACCTTGCAGTTAATTCATAAACTGAAAGGAGAAGATCTGCATTATTTTAATTGTTATTTCGCCTAATTTATTCAGTGGTTTACCTTTACTCAAGAGTTCGTTGCATTTTATGTTTTGAATTCAAAAATATTAATTATATACAATACTTGTTAAAATAAAAATTAACTATATTTGTTTGAATATTCAATGAAAATGTAAAAATCATTTGATGAACTATTAAAAGTACTTCTATTTCTCCTATCCCTATAATTCAGCCATGAATTCATCGAACTGTTCTACTTTCTATAATAAAGTTTCTTCATCTATTTCACTCTCCTATGATTTCTTATACATCTCCTAAATCTCCTAAGCCAATGTGCAATTCTTTATGAATTTCTCTAGTTTCTCTTAATATTTATTCCTATAAAAGGCATCCTTATTTTTATTATTGGCTTTTAAAGAAATAGCAATAAACTTCAAAACCGTCTCTTTACAAGATAAAGTAGGATATTTGGGTTTCTAATATCCTAATTGAGCCAAAACTCTTATGATAATGTTCTTTAGATGTAATTCCAAATAAGATGTGCAGTCACCTCTTTTCGCCACCTTCTTTGCAATATTCTACAATTTATATCTATATTTAATATACCTTGACAGCCTATAATTCTCCCAATTACATTTTATCAGGTAATCTGGCATGCTTGTATCTCTAAGGATTCATTTCAAATAATTGCATGTTATGTGCATTAGCAAATATCAATTGTTAATTCTTATGGACAATCACTAAGTTACTTAGTCCCTTCACTAAATTGTTGTTAATCAATTCAACTGGACAATGACCTAAATGTATTAATGATTAGATAATACCTTTATATTCTGGATATGGATCGAATTTATCTCCAACAGTTAGTTATCTTGGTATCTTATATTTTTCAATTGAATTATTGCAATAATGAGTGGGATTCTTGATAAAATCTTATTCAGTATCTTCACTTGATAAGAAGAATAATTAATCATCATAAAACAATAGATATGGACTTCTTAACTAACTGGCCATATAATTCTTTTTAGCTTTTATTAACACAGGACAATAATTGTACAATGGACTTAATTTTTGAATGATTTATTCTTCAGTCAAAGTCAATGAACTTACTCTTACTGGCTCCTATGTAATTAATGCTCTGGCCACCAAAGCTCGAGAATATAAACTCGCTTAGATGCACTTAGTACATAATGAGATCATTCCCCAACTGGATACTTATCCAACTTACAGATATCTCACATTATTGAAATGTGATTAATAATATGCTGCTAATAATGAAGTTTGATTGGCTTATAATCTTTAATGAACAACGTGATCAATACCACCAAATTTTGGATTTAATTTACGAATTACATATTCATCATCCTTATCACAAACAAATACCACTGTTGGAATGATACCTACCTTTGATAATGCTAAAGCCTCATCAATGGTTCTTGGATATCCATCTAAAATGTAGCCTTAATTGTAAATATCAGCCAATTAAATTCTTTTTTGGATAATTTAAATAATGGATTAGGTATCAACCTCCTTGCCTTCTTTCAATTAATTTTTGATGTTTACAGCCAATAAATCAGTTTAATTAGTAACAAATTCAGCCAGTAGATGAGATACTTTGACTCTTGCTAATTTAAGTTTTTCACTTAACAATCTAACAATCTCTGTTTTTCCTGACTTAACCTTTCCTAAAATGAATATAGTAGGTTTGATTTAAACATCAGAAGGAACTGTAGGCTTATAAAAGTATTTGTAAGGTCTTTAACATACTTATTCTCTTTATTCCTCATTATCAAGATAGTAAATTCTATTTCTATATAAAACTGGATAATCTCTGCAATGAGGAACATTTTATAAGGTAATAGCATTTCTATTTCCATATTTAGATTATTTATGAGTGTATAATTTTTCATAGGTATCTAACTTATTTAATTTATAATTTGTTGGATCTGGATATAAATTTAATTTTTAACATTATTCTTTTTCTAACATATTTTCTCTATATTCTCTGTCCATAACATTTTCTAATTAAGATGTAATTCTTTCTGTGACATTTTCAATATTAGTATCAGTACTGAGGATTACTGCATTGATTTTTAAATCTTCAAATTATTTTTATAATTCTTCAATTTTAGCCACATCTGCTTCATATTACAATTATAATTTATCTTTCTATTCTTTTATCATATCATCTAATTTAGGTGCTTCTGGATCTTCTTCTTCACCTTGAGGTGCATCCAAAGATGGCAACTCTTCTGCTCCTTCTTCAATAGCCTTATTTCTTGCCTCCACTCTTTCTTAATACCTTTTCTATCTTAACTCTTCCATTTTCGTCTAATATTCATCTTCAATAACTTTCTAATTGAAATTTCGTTTAAAGAAGTTTTCTTATTCTACTTTTAATAAAATAACATATTCAGGTAATTTTTTGGCTTCAACCAATAAATCAACAATTGGAGTTGAAACAATCTCTTCTGAAACATCAAAGAAATTAGCATTAATAATAACACCAGCACAATCTAAGATTTTATTTAATACTTCAATTTCATGAGCTTTGCGATCGAAATCAGCAGGATCTTCAGTGATTTCAGCATCTGGAATTTCTTTACCCTCAGCATCTAATTCCTTAGGTTTAAATCCTTTCAAGTAATATCTATTCAATTATCTATTCTTTTTATTAATTTCTAAATTTTAAATTAAATTAGCTTTCAAATCTAAAACTGGTAACTTATATAATCTATTCAATATTTTCAATTGAGTTCGCAACCCACTTCCTCTTACACCAATAAACATAATTCTTGGTTGTGGTATTGTAATTTATGATGGAACATACAATTAGACATTATCTTTGAATATTTATTATTCTTTCTCTCCATAAAATCTATATACCCTCCCTCTAACTAAAGCAATAATTTCTTCCTTTCCTGGTACTAACCAATTGGTTTTTTATAATGTAACAGGACAATAATTAGCATAATCACCATAAGGAATAGGTTCTTCCCCCTCTTATACATCTGCTGGTACTCTCACTAGGCTTTCATCATCAGCTCGAATATAAAATGGGTCCAAAGCTAAACGTACTCTAGACCAGACTTCCTCTTTTGTTCCATCAATAGGTACTTCTTTAACATTCTCTTCTTAATAAGCTTCTTTTAACAATGCAGACAAAGCATTGACTTAAGTTAATTCTTATTCAATTAAAAGGTCAGGATTACGTTATAATAATAATTATCCTGCTTCTTCTGATCTATCTTAAAGCATTAGAATCTTATCTATTTTAATTCCCCATAGATTCAATTAATCAATTTATTCCTATGTTTATGGATACCCAATGATCACAATCCCTTTTGGTTTAGATGTTTCAGGGACTTTCAATTCATTATCCAATAATGGTATGATCTCTTTAGTTGGTACATCTTCAGGAGGTGGAGTGACTGGTTTAACATTCTCTTCCACAACCTCAACTACTTCTTCCTTCTTCTTCTTTGCTTATTACTTTTTAGCTTCCTTCTTTTTCTTCTCTTCATCCTCTTCAGGTGGTTGTTCTTCCTCTTCCTTCTTTGGTTCTCCCCATCCTGGAGGTTTCCTTTGTAATGGTATATTTAAATAATTTAACACCATAGGTAATACATCTTTAATAGCATTTCCTTTATAGAACTCTTTCCATTCAGCTTCTGTTAAATGAATATCATTTACTCTTGGATCAAATGTAGATGCTAAATGTTTGGTTCTTTCTTGTTAAGCCTAAACCTTCTTTCTCACAATATCTTCAACATCTACTAATGTCCAGCCATAATACTCAGCTAATTAACTGGCTACAGTATTCTTGCCTGAGCACTTAGGACCTTATACCGATACAATGTAAGTTTTAGGCAATTATGGAGGTTTACATAAATATTTTCTAGGATAATTGATGAATTTATTTTAATTTTCTTCATTATCAAACAAAAACACTCTGCCAGCATATTCACAAGCGAATTCTGCCTTGCCTGGAATAATCTTGTCTTTTAACACTAATTCAACTGCATCAACCTATTACCATTATGACCACATTCTGTAAACCTTTTCATCAGTTAAATTCAATCCTAACAAATCCTTTTCAGAACCACCCTCTAATTTAACAGCTAATGGTCTTAAGGGTTACCCTTTCAAAATTTAGGCAGATACACGATCAACTAATTATTAAGTTGTCAAACCAGCAGATTGGAGTGTAATAATATTTTGATCTGGTAAGTGATCGTATAATGATAATAATTTCTATTATGATTTCTAAAAACTTTGAAGTGATTCAACTAAGAATTCTTAATCTAGAGGTCTATAAAATAGATCCTTTTCTGGTATAATGGGTGGTTTTTCTTCGTCGTCTGGATTGTCTCCTTAATCATCTTCTTCATCTGGATCATTTGGATCTTTGTATTTTATTTTAGGCCTCTTCTATTCCTCTCTGTCAAATTATGAAGTTGCAACTAAATCATCTTGTTTTTCCATTATTCTAGCAGCAAAATGCAATACATCTTCGTCTGATTATTCTAAATTAACAACATGTGTGAAATATCTACACCCTATTTTCGGTAATACCATTTTGTTTGATAGTATTGAATTCACCCAAAATTGATTCTCCAAAGGTAGATCTAATATATAACCTTTATTTTTAGGTAAATCTTATTATAGTTCAACATTAAACAACTATTCCAATTGTTCTTAATTCAATTCCCTTCCAAATTTCAATGAATCAATCACTTCTCTCCTCCAAAGGATTCAAAAATTCTTTTAGGATTCCCTTCTTCATCCATTTATGGATTATTTTCATTTTCTGCTACTTTTGCATAGATTCTTTGAATTCCCTTTTCCAAGTCCAAGTATTCTAGATCAAGTGATTTAGCCAATACCTTAGCAAATGTACTCCTACCACTTCTAGGTTTTCCAATCAAGAATATTTAAGGAGGTGCTTGATTTGCATATTCAATTACATCATCTTCATAAGGATTCTTACTATCAATTGGTAATTACCCTTTAGGCGATATGAATTTACTCAAATATGATTAAAATGATGGTAATTAAACATTTGATTATTATTCTTAGATAAT